AGCTCAGGATGTGCTGAAGAGGAATCAGATAAAGTAGGAAGAGCAGAGGCCCCAGCACAGAACCTTGTGAGACACCATGTGTAAGGAAGGTGGAGGAGGAAAACATCCTGGAGATGACCACAGAGAAGGAGCGCTCAGAAAGATATAAAGTGAACCATTCCGGAGCAGTTCCTGATAGGCCTACCCAGTCTCTCAGCCTCTCCAGTAGCAGGTGATGGTCAACAGTGTCAAAGGCTGCAGTCAGGTCCAGCAGGACCAGAACAGAACAATCCCCTGCATCACTGTGAGTCAGAAGGTCATTAGAGACCCTAAGAAGAGCTGTTTCAGTAGAATGAGCTCTACGAAAACCTGACTGGAAGCTATCATAGATGTTATGTTCATCAAGAGTAGCTGTGAGCTGTTTAGCCACAAACCTTTTCAAAGATCTTGGAGATGAACGGAAGTTTGGAGATTGGTCTGAAGCTGCTATGGAGAGAGGGGTCGATTATTTTTATTTTTTTAAGAAGAGGTTGAATTCTGAGAAAATAAGCAGGGACCCGACCAGAAACTAGTGAAGCAATAATTATAGAGAGCACACTGGGACCAATGGACTGAACGAAGATAAGGGTAACATGTCAAGAGGGCGCGCAGAGGTTTTCATTAAGTCTATCTCCCTTCTCACCTTCTGTGTCACACTCCATACTGTACATTAATGCCACTGTTTTGCACATACCAACCTCTGTACATTTTATATCTCTTATCTTATTGTTTACTTATTCATTTGTAAAACACCTATATACACACTACACACACACTCACACGCACACATGTAGAACAATATATTAAAAAAAATAATATACTTGCATAAACATTTAGTACTGTATATACATTACAACTTATACATATTATTACTTATGTAGGAGCCATTATTGTTTTGGTTTAGATTAGATTATGATCTAAGTCAGGGATTCCCAAAGTGTGGTGCGCGCACCCCTGGGGGTGCGCGAGCTGCCGCTAGGGGGTGCGCGAGGTGAAAAGTGTAATGGCTGCGGAGCTCAGAGAAGTCTGTCATATGTCACCATTAGCGTAGAAACTCATTTGTGGGTGGGCCAAAGAAAAAGTAAGTGGGCACAATAAATGTAATTGAAAACAAGTATATTTTTGCGCGCGCCCGTGTCCTCCATGATGTGCCCTAGCTTCATAATAACAATGCGCCGAGCTTCAGCACTCTGGCCTGCCACGCCGATATGTTCCGTCGCGTGCGTGCGTGTCCTCCGCATGTGTCCTAACTTCATAATAACAATGCGCCGAGCTTCAGCACTCTGGCCTCCGCACGCCGATATGTTCCGTATTTGATCATTTTTAAAGGTGTTGGAGAAATCTGAAGGTGGCGAGTCATTCTGGCAGATTGTAATTAACACCCTGTCTCATGCAGGTGTTCTGACGTTGTAAACCTCACACACAGAACATTGTGGATGTAACTAAATAACAAGAAATGATTCCCATTCAGGCTATTGACAGCGCGCTGAAGATCTGAAGTTCAGAGTCGAGGTCAGACACGTTCCGGCTGAACCACGGCTCACGGGTGCACAAGTGAGCACGTCTGGGCTGGGCAGAAGGAATTTTACAACATTGGTTTAAATAGCGCGAGACGCGGTGACTTGAGCGGCTGTGCCGCGCGCGCACACACAGATTCAATAAGCGCACACACTGCTTTAACTCCGGCCCGCTGTCAGACTGAAGGCAGAAATGAACGCTGCCTCCACCGTGATAAAAACTTTTAAGAGGTTATTTTTCATTCAAGGTCAAATTAAGATATTAGCTTCTGGGATGAGTCGGGTCCGCTCCAGCCAGTGACTCCGAACCTGACCACAAGTCCACTGCAGCATTCATTATTCCAGTCCGCATGACAGCGGATCGCAGATTCAGCCACACCATAAAACAGCAATAAGTCAGTCTGAGGTAAAAGTGAACATCATGGCTATATCTTGTCCCCTATTGACATTTGATTACGCACAAGTAGGTGATCAGCTCAGGTTTACGCAGAGCAGAAGGAAGGAGAGCGCTCTGGCCGCACAGGTTAAACGTTCCTACTTTAAGAAAACCGTTAAATTGCATTCTTTATGTGCTACCTGGGCACTCTAAATATTTATTCAGAGTGAAATCAAAGGAAATTGTAATGGTATCGAATGCTTATTAATTACTATTTAGAAAATGAAAGTGATGGGGAATTTTTTTAACCCTTTCTGTTTAGCTTGACATCTGATATATATATATATATATATATATATATATATATATATATATATATATATATATATATATATATACAGAGAGAGAGAGAGAGAGAGAGAGAGAGAGAGAGAGAGAGAGAGAGAGAGAGAGAGCCATGCCCCGATGTGGGGGGGTGGGGGTGGGGGGGGCGTCGACATGGTCGGGACATAGAAGGGGGTGCGCGGCTAAATAAGTTTGGGAACCACTGATCTAAGTTTATTTTGATAATGTTTTATGTACATTTCAGTTTATTGCACTATGGTTTGTATTTCCTTTGACCACTGGTGGCACTGCAGAGCCTATAAAGGTGTTGAGGTGGCTGTGCATTGGCGTTTTCTGGGTGACGGGAGGTCACACGGTTTTTACCGCTTCGTTTGGTTTCATATGCCACATCTAATTTGCCGTTATAATTTTCATCATTTACATAAACCTGGACAAGAAATAGCCATTGTGGACCCAGTTTGTGATCGTCATCATATTCAATAAATGGGACAATAAACCCAAACCCGCTTTCTGCCTGGACAATATTGTTGAAGCGAGTCATTGCCTCCACCCGCACCCGAGGGTGACTAAAAGTGGGACTTGATAGTCACTACAACTTAGATTAGCCATTTTTATATTTTACTTGTTTTTACATTACTGTATTTTTGCATAACTCTGTTGCTGTGAAGCTCGCACACAAGAATTTCACTCGCATGTACTGTACCAGTGTACCTGCACATGTGACGTGACAATAAAAGTGATTTGATTTGATTTTGAAATGCTGGAAATGGTTGGTCTTTGTAAGGTTTTACCCAGGAATTTGGATTCATACGAAGAATTAACTGAGCTCCTTGTTTAGAGTGACAGTTCAGTGATGGTTCTGAGCTAATATAAAAGCTAGTGAATACACTATTGTGGACCGGATATGTGACTAAATGGTGGCAGGATACCTCAGAACAGCTAAAGTCACAGCCAGTCACTTCCAACTGAAACGCTTGACAATGGACTTGACTTCTGTGTACCAGGCAGGCTGGCTTCTTACAAGGATGCTGCCTGGATTTGAACACAGCATGGGGGGGGGGGGGGGGGGGGGGGGTTTATTATTATATTATATTATAACTTTAACTCTTGCTGTTCTCCATATAGTTATCAGTTAATGGTCAGTGACTATCACCGTGACTGAAGTCATGGAGCCAAGATGAGGTCAAACTCATTATTTACCTTGTGACAATAACGCAAGGGAGTGTTAGAGGCTCCAGTCACAGCTTAAGATTTGTATGCAGCTCCAGTTGTAACCAACAGATATAATGCATTTCTAATTCACATCTTATCACTTTGTGCACACAAAATTCTTCTACTGCAAAAGAAATAAGCAAGTTCCTCTCTCTGGTGAATTTTCTATCAAAGTAGTACATTTTTGCACATTTTTCTTTAACATTTTTCTCAAAAGAATCAGTAAATGAAACTAGTTCTCACGTGATACACCAGAGAAGATCTAACCAGATTTATTGCAATAATGCTGAAACGGTGAATGACGAGGATGAATGTTGCTGCTTCTGGTCTGATGCTTCTACAGAAGGGTTTGAGCCTTCCTGAGAAGACTGAGCCTTCTGGAGCAGCTGACTGGTCTATAAATGTAGCGGGAGAATCACAAATCAGACAAAAACAAAATTTGAAAAAATAAATTCATTAAAGCCAAAAGTCAGAGAGAAAGAAAAAGAGTTCTTAATTGTCATCATGCATACGCATGACAACATTTTGTTGGTAGCTCTCAACTTCATCCATCCATCTTCTGAACCCGCTTAGTCCACGCAGGGTCGCGGGGGGGCTGGTGCTTATCTCCAGCGGTCAACGGGCAATCAGGCGGGGTACACCCTGGACAGAGAGCCAGTCCAGCGCAGGGCAACACAGAGACACACAGGACAAACAATCACACACACCTAAGGACAATTTAGGCAGACCAATCAACCTAACAGTCATGTTTTTGGACTGTGGGAGGAAGCCGGAGAACCCGGAGAGAATCCACACATGCACAGGGAGAACATGCAGACTCCATGCAGAAAGATCCCAGGCTAGGAAGCGAACCCAGGATCTTCTTGCTGCAAGGCAACAGCTCTAACCACTGCACCACTGCGCAGCCCGTAGCTCTCAACTTACGGCACAAATTTCTATAGAGGATAAAACATCTGTTAAAAATTACACACAATTAAAAATAATGGGAATAAAAAGATTATAAATCAGAGTGAGACACACACAAGAGAGATGCTGCATAATTGTCGAAATTCTAATTATTTTTAGAGCAGCACTTATTACGTAAAGGCTTTTCTTTGAACTTTGTTCATTGTTTTTCATTCTTAAATCACCATTCTTTTAATATCAGTTTCTCTTTCTTTGTCTTATTCTTCTGCCTTGGATAGCACGTCAGATCTCTGCCAAACCCCCGAGGCTTCTCTGCAACTCCAGTTTCAGTGCAACTGATTATGACACCATCGTCTTCACCATCGCTCTTTCCCTGTCTGCAGCTTCAACACACGCTCAAACCTCCTTCCCACTGTTCCACCGAGCTTGATTTTTCTGAACATATTTCTATCAACCGTTGCAACAGGGAAAAGAAAATAATTTGTGAATTTCGATTCCTAAAGAAGTGTGTGAGCAGCGACAGCATCAGAGTCGATAACATCTCTCACATCTCTTCCAGCATCCACTCTGCCTCTGCTTTCTCTCCCTCCCTCCCTCCCTCTGTTTCCCTCACACACACACACAGACCCCCCCTCTCTCGCAGAAGTAGATAGAGAGCAGCGAGGAGCAGAAGGAGCTGGGTGGCAGGAGGGAAGCAGCAGGGCTGTTGTTGATTGAACAAAGGCAGGGAAGGAGCGCACAGTCCTGGGGTGAAGAGCTGCTGTGAAATGCCTTGAAGGGAGCCTGCCAGTTACTCCTGCAGAGACCTGAAGGTAAGCCTCCGCTGATGGAGGAAAAAAGCTACGAAAACAGACACAAAAGGGAAAGAGAACAGGGGAGAGGGGAGGTTATTAAAGCGGCTGATGCATGATATGACTGTGGTATCACATCCAAGCTGCCTTTCCTGGCATCTGACTGCAGTTGGCATTGCATGCAGCTCTTCATTGCAGAGTCAGAAACCCATCTGGAGTGGCTTTGTTGGGTGACAAGTCTGCATAACCTGATGGAAAATCAAAAAACTACAAGAATCTAACGAGAAAGCAATGCACAGAAAGAGAAGGCATGCAATTACGCAAGGTGGATCAGGAGCAAGACAGCAGGAAAACAGGAAAGTGTTGGTGAGAAAAGTAGCTCCTCCACAATTTTTTTTATCACCACAGCTTAGCCCTTTATCTTTTTGTCACTGCAGAGACACATATATCAGCACCATGCATCCACTTTCTCTTGTGGGGATGGCAGGATGATCAGAAAGGCAATGAATCTCTGACGCAAGCAGAGAGGAGTCTGTCAACAGTCCTGCTGTTTGTGCCGTGTGATACTCTCAGTCCGATGCAGGAGTTTAAAGAGCGCAGCAGCAGGGATGAAACCACAGTGATTGTGTGTGTGTGTGTGTGTGTGTGTGTGTGTGTGTGTGTGTGTGTGTGTGTGTGTGTGTGTGTGTGTGTGTGTGTGTGTGTGTGTGTGTGTGTGTGTGTGTGTGTGTGTGTGTGTGGAATGGGAGGAAGTGGCTTGCACTATACTAAACCACCACACAGTGCGCAGTGTTCTTGCTCTAACACGTTCAATACAAAAGCAGGAGATAATACGGCTAATGCAGCACTAGCTAGCAGCAAGGTTTTCACGAATGTTGCATGAAAAAAATAAGAGATGGAAAGCGAATCGTGTTGGTTCCTACATAATTAACCTTTCTGGAGAAAAGATTTGAGCAGATTGATGTATCACCTCTTTTGCCACTCTGTTGTAGCTCGGATTTGTTGCGCCACACAAGATTAGCTGTCAGCAGAGAACTTGGAGGACAGCTACAGGGACTCAGAACAGCTTTTACAATTTCTGACTGCTTCATTTTCTTTTACAAGGCAATGCAAACTCCTCCAGTAGTTTGGAAACCTTACTGCAGTCAATCATCTCTCCCCTTCAGTAAGGCCAGTAAGTGCTGAACTTCATATTGGTGGAAAGATGGATTAGTCGGCTTTAAAAACCAGAAGAAATGTGCGTTCATAGAAGGAGCAGCTAATTGTGTTTGCGGCTTTTAAAATGTAAGACTCTAAATCCCTTACAATGTCCTCCTCTCGTGTAGCAGTCACATATATATGTCCTATATAGGTACATGCCTCCTGTGATATTTGTTGAGTTGGTGTGTGCTCCAAGCATCAGTATGTAACGCTTGTCTCTTCAGGATGAGGCACATTCAATGGGGCAACGGGAAGCTGGTGTTCACAGAGCTGCAGCATCATTTGGGGTCAGCACTGATGCCATCTCCAAACTGAGCACATTCTAGTCATGTCAAGAGCAGATTGTAAAGTGAGACACCTCTAGAAGATTGCTTGTCTTGTGTCATTACAGACCAAGTTCACTAGATTTTTAATACATTTGCAGTGGTTTTTAGTGTAAATGAATGCTCTGTGAGTCTATCTTTGAGGAAAATGAACTCTCACGCTCCTGTTTCAGGAACTAGAGTTTAGCCAGAGGAGTGGGGAGCAGAACACAGCAGGATTTGGGGTCCTACTTCCTGATATTTATACATCTCCCCTCTGATTGGCTAACAGCAATGCAACTTTATCATTGACTGCGTTTGGTTTGCAACACAGACGTCACAGATCAAGGTGGGTGAGTCCACGAATGTTAGGTGACAGTGTGACACTGTCAGGATTATCAAATTCTAGTGTAACCCCGTCTGAAGCGAATGCAGGAGATAGATGTAGGAGACTATTTTGATGTTCAACCTGCATGAAAAACTCAGAGTGACCTATTATAAACACAAAAAAATTTAAAAATTGTTTTTCAGCCAACCGAATCTTTAAAACTTCACAAATGTCAATGTAGACTGAAGATCTGGAACCAGCTTTGATCCTACTTTTCCAGGATCTGGGATCTAACCCCATTCTCCCAGTGCTCACCGCACTAAAATGGTTAAAGAGTATGGTGAGAATCTGGGACCAGATAAGTTGGAATGGCCTGTAAGTTCAGGTCTCAACCAAATCTAAACAAAAGTACAAAAGAATAAAACTGGAACACTTTGAAGTCATCTCTGTCATGTCATTTATGTCACCAAGACCAGGTGGCCGACACTACCATGCTGGTTGACTTGCCACAAAAACACTTACTTCCTTCTCCTCAGACAGCTTTTATCTCTGTAATCTGCCTCAGCGCTATTCAAAACTGGCCAATCTGAAAACATGTGATATTTACAGACATGGACAAAATAGTTGGTACCCTTCAGTCAATGAAGCCGGGAGCCGCCTCGTCATTGGTCGAGTTCGGACCGAGCCAAAGCGAGGGGGAGGTTTCAACTACCAAGGTGGAGGTTAAAAGTAGAGGGTATGTGTAACCTCCCCCTCGCCAGATGGTATGTTCTAACGTTCCCCTTGGGCGGCAAATATGAAAATTGACAGTCAGACTCTGACTGTTAGAGTCAGACTGCGTGGGAAACAAATGCTTGATCACAGTGAGAGTAACGTTTAGGTAGCAAGAGGGTTAAGGTTAGGATGAGGGAGAGGAGAAGGTTATAAATAGTGAAACGTTAAGGTTTAGGTGCGGTTAAATGAGCTGGTTCTGTGCCGCATCAGCAGATATCTAATCACGTCGGTTTTACGCTGCATTGGGATCTGCAGTTACAAAAGGGAAAAACCCCTTTTCGCACATAAGTAACGAAAAAGGGCACTTTTGGCGTCTGGGGTCTGACGTGGAGGGTGGCTGACCAAGCGTTTGTTTCCGACGCTTAGGGTGTGAGAATGTGTTGGTCTGAAAAAGATTGGCCCATCTTCACCTCTAACCTAACGTATGTGCTGCAAAGGCTAATGGAAGTAGTATTTCCATGTAGAATCACTTCATGTTTGTACATATTTTATAGTTTCTTAAATAGTTTTTAACTGAAAGCTACAATAAAACTTCAAATCATGTAATAGGGCCTTTAAACATAAAAAAATAATAGATCAAGGGTATTCAATTCCGGGCGTCGAGGGCCGGTGTCCAGCACGTTTTGGTTTTAACTCGGCTTCAACACACCTGAGTTCTATTAGCAGGTGATTAACAGGCTTCTGCAGAGCCTGGTGAGCTGCTTTACATGTGATTAAACAACTGAGTCAAGTGTGTTGGAACAGAAAAACACCTGTTGAAGCCAAAAACCTGTTCTGGTGACCAAAACCTGACTTTTTTTTTCAATGGTTTGTAGGTGTTTTGTCTATAAAGTGCCTTCATTCATACTGGTGACAAAGAAAAACATCTGTAGGTGACTGATTTCTCTTCAGAATGAAAATGAGTGCAACTCATTACTTTTTAATTTAGTTACACTTATATTCTTCTAATTATCCTTGAATCGCACACGGTAGCAACCGGTGGCAAATACATCAATGACTATTAATAACCACAAACGCCTTTACTGTCGTTGCACACCAAGTAAACAATGAAATTGCATTGCATCTCTGTCTGGTGCAGGAGCGAGTGAAAAATGAAAATGTTTCCAAAATGTATTGAAAGTTATTTTTTGCATAGGTTGGGGCCTCACACTCACGTTGCAGGAATTTAAAACTTGTTAAAACATTGCAAAAACACATTTTCTCTTTAAAAAAAGGTAACAACTTATTATTGCAGCCACGAGGAACTCCTCTTAAATCATTTTCAGGTTTGATTCTGAGTCAAAGATTAAAAAGATGATATTTTTTTCTCAGTTTACAGAACAGAAATAAGGACCTCAGAGGTGTTTTTTATTATTAGGGTAGAATCTTCTGAATTAGATGAATCTTCTGTGCAAAACAGGTGCAGACTTAATTATTCGTATTTGCACATTCAAACATAAAAGTTTCATCACGTCCTCACCGTGGCAGAAGAATTTTTTAATTTCATCTCATTAATTTTCACAATATCTGGATCTTTATTCCTAGGAAGCACAACCAGTTCCACCTGCCCCTCAGTATCTCAGAAAACAAAGATAAGACTTTTAGCAAATAAGCTGTTGCAGTGGCAGCAATATTCACTTTTGTTACGGTGCATTGACACGTTTCTTCATCAGAAATGGTTTGTGCTGTACATTTTTTTAGCTGAGACCCTGTTTCATCACTCACACCTCTCTAGAAAGTGTGCCGTATAATTCACCCTCTGTGACAGCCGCAGCAGACTGAGGATGTTTAACACACTGGTGTCACAGCGGTTTCATTCTGAGTTGATATGTGCTGACTACAGAGAAGGAGGCTCCTCAAAGGGTGAGAACGTTAACACGCCGAAGCACAAAGAGAATTCTAATAGAGTTCATTTCTCCTCTGGGTTTCCCAGCATGCAGCACTGCCTGACTGCAACTTCACCCTGTCAGATTCCTCCATGGTCTCCACCCTCTGTCATCTGCCCCGTCACTTGTGTCCTTAGCAGTGAAGAAGAGCGGAGGATTAATGAGTCATATGAAGACAGGAAGGATTAGGTTAGATGCAGACTCAAGTGCATGTCCACCCACTGAAGCTCACACCATTTCAAGCCTCCTCATATCCACGTCGCCTCTTACGCTCCAGGTCAGCATGGTGGAAGAGTGTAATTTGGCTCCTGTAGGTGTTGGGTTTATAATCCCATCTCCTCCCACTTCAGTAGCAATGTGAAATCCTCGCTGTCCCTTATTTCCCCTCGTCTCTTTCACATACCAGGAGGAGGACTAAATTCCTACAAGCTGTAAGATCTTTAACAATCTTAATATATTTCCAAGGATGTATGAAAAATGCACCAGAAAGAGAGATGTGAGAAGGGTGCGGATGAAGAGGTGGAAGAGTGAAACGGAGATGTTATTAGGGAA